GCCCCCCCTCCCCCCCCCCGTGGATCTGTGATAAAGTCTGGTCACAAACACTCCCGCCAGGGACACCTGGGCACACGTGGCCGGTGGCACCCCATGCGGGTTTCTGGGCACGTGCGGGCGGCCCAGGCTAGCTGTCGTACCAGTCGAGGAAGAGCAGGGAGAAGGAGCACATCACGAGGAAGAAGAGGATCCACACGCGGAAGCCGGCGTTGTTTTTAATGGCCTGGGCAGGGACAGGAGCACACGAGTTTGTGTCACGCAGGACTTGGTTCTAAAAGCCCTGACACACTCCACTCGCCCGTTCATACCCTCTCCCAGTCCTGGCTGTCACTGTGTGTGGTGCTCAATCCTGTGCTCACCTTGAGCAGATGGCTGAACCGTTAAGCAAAAACAGAAAGTCGGTTTGAAACCCATCAAAAGACAAACGGGTTGTGTTTTCCTCACTGTCAGCCATAACTGGAGGTCCTGCACGATCCTCCCAGAACGTGACACCCCGGAATTATTCACTCTGTTCCAGGGTGAGCGGCTCCAAGCCCAGGGCTTTGTGGTTCCCAGTAGTGCGACATCAGGGGTGGCCCAACCCTGAGGGCTCAGCAGAGATGTCCTGTGGCATCCCCCTCGCTCGGAGCACCCACCCCCGGCTTTAGGGAGCGGCCTGACCCTTGCCAGGAGGACCCCACCCAGATCGCTCCACGGAAGGGGGGTGGGCCATGGCCTCTCGACAGCGGCCGGCCTGGGCCAGCGGGCCTCATAAACACGTGCGGCTGGGCCAGAGGCGACTCTGGCGAGGCGCTTCGTGCACGACTGGCCCTGTGCCCTCCGCCCCACGAGGCTTCTGCGCAGCCCTGCCAGCGAGCCCAGTGTATGGCTGGCACTGAGTACTAAGCCAGACCAGACCAGGGCCTAAAGAGCACCCACCTCTCGTATGTCTTCGTTGCCCTCCTTGATGTTTTCAGTTGCCCCTACAACTAGCTGGTGGATGTTGTCAATCTCAGCTTCCTGCGGAAGAAAAGAGAGCTGAGCGCCCCTTATCCAAAAACCTGGGATCCAAAGTTCAGATCTTCAGATTAGGAACGTTCAGCCTGCACGACCACCTCCTTCTCCCTCAAGCTGGGATCTTGGGACAAAAACAGTAGACGCTACCTACTGAGGGCTGAGGCTTCATCTGCGTGGCCCGTGAACCCTCCCCGCACCGGAGAAGTAGGCATCACTCCTATTTTCTGAACGGGGCACTTGCGGCTCAGAGATACTTGCTGGCTTTCCCAAAGCCAGGCCGCCATCAAGCGGCGGGACTGGGCTGAGGCGCCCTGGTGTTAGTCCCCAGTGCCTTGCTGCTTCTGCCCCTGCCTTCCATCTCTCCTGGGCCACCACCGGATGACAAGGACAAAACCTAGCACTGCTGTCTGTGTAGCAGCCGTCACATGCCGGGGCTTTCCTTCAGAAGTCCACAGGAGCAAGCTACAGAATATGTGTGCTTCAGAACGCACATGCTCGTTTCAAAAACAGTGCTTTGTGTTTCGCTACTGCAACCCTAAAAGACAGGCTACCGTTAAAAGCCGAAACAGGATGCAGGATGCTTGCCGAGAATGCTGACTGCCGACCCTTGGGCAGCTAAGCGGCACGGGATCCCGTTCTAACAGCCCCCCACCCCCACAGCAGCCTCCTGGCTCAAGACGGCTCCAGAGCCCGTCTCCTCCGGCCACGGCCCGGAGGAGAATGCACTCGCCAGCGTTTTTGCAGATGCCTGACTCATACAGCACCACAGGGAGAAAAGCGGCTGGTGGCCTCTGCTTCCGAGCGAGGGTCCGACCGGGAAGGCTTTGCTCCGCCGTCACGCCTTTCCAGAGCCCCGAGAAGTGGGAGCTGGGCCGCCAGGGCCACCACTCCCGGGGAGGTCCACGGGAGCCTCACGCCACATCGGTGGGAAGACAGCCCGCTCCTCAGGTCTCCCACGTGCCAGGCCCGTCGAGCAGGACTCCGGGCTGTGCTCTGCATGTCCCTTCCGGGCCCTGCAGCTGCGGGATGGTTGGGAGCGAGGCAGCGCGCCGCTCGTAGAGAGGGCGGGTCTCACGAACCTGAACTTCCGGCGTGGTGTTCGATTTACTGTGTCTCACGCACAAGACTGACTCTGGCGGTGCGGGTGGGGAAAGCCGCTTTGTGAGTGCAGTGTCTGGAGCCAAGTAGCCCCGTTTAACTCGCTGGAGAAAAGGACTCTGTCTTCCAAACCCTCCCACGCTGTTGGGTGCTAAAAGAAGAGGCAACTTCATCTACAAATGCTGCCAGTATTGGCTGAAAGAACTCCAGAATTGCAGCGGGAGAAAAGACGGAAGATCTAGCTAGGAGAGCATCCCATTTCCACGAGGACACCACACCCGAGGTGGCCTGGTCCAGGCGTTCTGAGAGGGCCGGGTCTGAGCCCTGGCAACACTCCTGACTGAAAAGCTGCAACCCATCAGCACTGTGCTGGCACTTCTGCAGGTTGTCTCGGAATCTTCCTACAATCCTGCAGGAGCCCTGGCGTTTACACACGGGAGCTGGACCTCAGAAGGGCTCCCCAGCTTGCCCGGGCATCCTGAATCCAGCGTCTGACCCCCAGGCCTGGGCTCTGTCCTCCCCAAGCCACTCTGTGCTCCACCACATGGGCAGCCCCTGGGGCCTGACCTGGGCTGGAGGTCTCCTGTGGAGAGCTCCAGTCACATATGCAAAGGCTGCCCTGGCAGTGAGAGGATCTGCCCAGGACCTCTGCAGAGGCACATCTACCAAGGACATGGGGCCCCGCCCAAGCGGCAAGGCTCAGGCACCTGCAGAAGAAAAGGCCTGAGCTCTTAGTTCATGGTCCCTTCAAGCTAAAACTAAAAGCTACTTCGTTTTGTTTTTACCTGCTGTAAGACCTTCTCCGTGAATATCTCTTGGAGTCTGGAAATTTCAACCACTTTTCCTTCGATTTGCCTTCATGAAGAGAATGAAAGATTACATGTTAGCTGTTCGTACTTGGTAGTCAAATAGGAACGTGACACATTTCCCAAGAGACCGTGAAGGTGGGGGGTACACCAGGGCAGATGTGCCCTTGTGGCTTCACCTTTCCTGTCCCCCCACTTACCTGGCCCTGGATTTGTGAGACATATACTCTACCGTGTAAACTGAGCCTCCTGGGTGGCAGCTGTGTGCCATGCCTTTGCACTCTGAGTCAATCTGGGGGGGCAGGGGGCGGGAGGCACACATCATGGCCCAGTTACAAAATGCAGTCTCCAGTAAGGCCTGGGCCCGGTCTGGTCCCCGCAGTGACACGCGGTGGGATTCAGACGGCAGTGCCAGAACATGCGGATGGCCCAACTGTGTTACCGCTCAGTAGGTTTAGTGAGCAAGTCTCTTTGCCACCCAGCCACCTGCCTGTGGCAAGAAAAAAGCTCCGGTTCAGTCTGAAAAGATTGTCTATGGGCTTGGCAACCAAGTGCCTGCCACTGAGGCATGCCCGCGAGCTGTCCAATTGCTCAGGGGCAGCAGGGGCCACCCTGGGAGTGGGCTGGCGCTGGATGGCGCGAACGACAGGTCCAGCACCAAGCAGCAACAGGAAGTGGCCGGAGGTGCAAAGTGGCGGGAACTGAGCTCCTGGCCAGGAGGGCCCAGATGTGTTCCCAGCAGTGTCACAGACCAGAAAGGCTGGGGAAGGGGAGGGGAAGTGGGAAGGGAGCGAGGGTTGTGAGATGAGGAGGCGGGCGGGGGAGGCGGGGGTGGGAGAGGGAGAGCGAGGCTGGTCACAGGGAGGCCAGGAGGCCCATCTTGGAGGGCAAAGGCCAAGCGCTCCCCGGGGGGCTGTCACCTGCACTGAGAAAGTCCTCTGGCTGTGTGGGTGAGCCCAGGGTTGATTATTTGGGGACCACGCTCGCCACGCATCAGACTTGGCAGAGACCTGGGCCTCACCGTCATCCCACGGAAAGAAGGCCTCCAAGCACCTTCCGTGTAGACCAACGATCGCACAGGTGTGTGATCATGACCCAGCCTTCTGTACACCTGCCCCCCTGCTGGGCGAGGGAGGAGATGGACCCGTGGGGGCACTGGCAGGCTCTTCCCCCGCCATTTCATTTTAGAGTAACTCTGCGTAAGCAGCCCAAGGGGTGGGGGTGACTCCGGCAGGTGACACGCAAGCGCTCATCGACCCCCTCGAGATGGTGCTGCCCCTGGGCGCCACAGCAGGCCCCACAGCTGAGGGAGTGGTGGGTTCCGGGAGCTGCCAGACAGCTTGTCCGAGGGGCTCGGGTGGGCGACTGTGGTGCCTGGGCACCACAGCAAATACGAGAGTTCCTGGATCCTGGGAAAGCAGCACGCAGGCCATCGGCTCACCAAGGAACTACACACATACCTCACTTCGTCAAACAGGCTGTTCATTTCACCAACCAGCCGCTGGTTTTCTTGTTCAAACTGTGAGGAAACACACACGTTCAGAATGATGCCCTACCGAACCCAGGCCAAAGTCTAGCGAGAAAACTCCGCTCTGCCCTCCAGGACTTGCTTCTCCAGAGAGCAACAGAGCGGTGCTGGAAGACCAAGAGCATCAGCGTAAAACACACCCAAGCCTCAGGAAGGACACGTAAAAAGAACCACACCCAGCCCCGAGAACAGCAGTGGGCTTCCCCGGTGCTCGGCTTCCCCACCTCCCACGTGTATACTCCCAGAGCACAGAGGGACTGCTGGCTGGAGTTCGCACAGTCTCCACCTGCCCTCTCCTCTGGCGCCCACGGCCGGCTTCCCACCACTGGTTTTTAAACAAAGAAGGATCTGGCGTGGACGGAGGCGGAGGCCGGCGGCGTGGCCAGGCTGCTGCCGGGCCCCTTGGCTTCAGAGCCGTGCCCCTGGCCGCCGCGCCGATCCACAGGGACAGAGCCTGGCGGCCAGAGGCGCCGCGTTCCCCAGTGCTCAGGCTGGGGAGAACGGCTGCCCTGACAGCTGGGGACACCGGGGGCTCCTTGGCCTTGACTCCACAAGACAGGTGTTCTCCCCCCGTCCTGGCCGACCGAGCGGGGCCTCTGGAACCAGCCCTGAGTGTGGCGGGAGACTCTCTGCCTTGTGCTCGCAACTGCACTCAGCTCCCCGAGGCACCGGTGTCCTTCAGGGGTGCCCCTCAGGGGCGTCTCTCATCTCTGCCCCCTGGGCCCCTCTTCTCCAGGAGACCCGCCTTGGTCCCCGAGCTCGAACTTGTTCCTCGTTTCCCGAAACCGTCTCAGCACAGTCATCATTTTCTGCCCTGACTGGCTGCGCAGGCCCTAGACGCCCCGTGGGCTCTGCGCTTCCTGAGGGTGGGAAGCGTGTAGAGCCCAGCTGTGGCAGAGCATTCCATGCACCGTTTCTCGCACATCTGTTCAAGCTCCCATCGCGCCCACAGATGCCGTCCAAGGCATCTGTGCCAGGCACCGCAGGGCAGGGGAGGACCGCAAGCCCAGGCAGCCTTGCCTTCAGAAGCGTTGCCGTCGGCTGACGTCTGGGCCCTCGCTCACTCAGGAAGCCACCGGCAAGAGGAGCAATGGCCACGGGCAACGCCGACGCTTCCCCGGCAGGAGTGCACGGACTCTTGCAGCCCCGGCCTTGTTCCCATCGCCCTCTCGCTCTAGGCCTCCCCTGGTACCGCCCGCCCCTCCCGTTCTCCGGCCAGGACCCCCGAGCCATCACACCCTCCAGTCACCTCTTCATGTCCGTCCTGGTCTACCCACTTCACCCTGTGCGCTCCTGCGTCCCGCCCTTCCCTGCTGTCCACATTCTGCCCTCGCGCCCCCTTGCCCGCCTCCAACTGCCCTCCTTCCTTGGTTGAGGCGACTCCAACTGCTGGCCAGACGACTCTCTGCTGGCCCTGCCCCTTGGCCCTGCAGTCAAGCCTAAGGCTGCCCATTCCCCATGACCCAGCCATATCACACCTCTCGCCTCGCCACTGCACAGGCTGGCTCTTTGCCCGCTGGGAGTCCCACGAGTCCTCCAAGCCCAGCACAGGCTCCTTCTGAGTGACCGGACACCTCAGGGCAGACCAAATCACTTTTCCTCGCTTCCTCACGCTCGCCAAAAAGGCCCTCTGCGCTGACTCCGGCACGCCCTCTCCCGTGTGCTCAGCTGGCCCAAACCTGCAAGGTCTCACACACTGCAGGGCGCCTGTTCTCAGCCCCGGCTGCTCGTCAGAACACAGGGAGGCCTCTGCTCCACCCCAGGCCTACTGGGTCAGCAAATGGGGCAGCGGGGGCGCTGGCAAGGCTTTAGGAGAGCAGAAGTGCTCGGGAAAGCTCCCTGCAGGGTGCCTCAACAATGTGACCGCGGATGGCCCTTTTAACTGGGCATCACAGAGGCTGTTTAGGGCTTGGTGGCTCAGCCTGTAATCCCGTGCCTTGGGAGGCCGAGGTGAGTGAACTGCCTGAGCCCGCGGGTTTGAGACCCACCCGGGCAACTTGGCGAGCCCTCATCTCTATAATAAATCAAAAAATTAGCCAGGCGTGGTAGCGCGCACCTATAGTTTCAGCTACCTGGAAGGCTGAGGCGGAAGGATCGCCGGAGCCCAGCAGGTCGAGGCTGCAGTGGACGGGAGCATGTCACTGCACTCCAGTCTGGGTGACAGAGTGAGACTCCAACTCAAAAAAAAAAAAAAAAAAAATTTCACTTTTGAGTCTCAAAGTATGGCTCTGTTAACTGTCAACAGTTACTTAAGAGGCCAGTATTTAAAGCAAACGTGATTACTTCAACATGTAGGTGCCAATCCACTTTGACTAATCCACTAGTCCACTTCAGGGACTACTGACTGTTTAGGGATGAGGGTCATTTTCTTCGAGTTTTTCTAATGACGAATTATGGCCCTGCCCTTTAAATCCACAGTTCTTGTGCGCTTTGAAACTGTTCCTAAGCAAAATCAACGAGCACTTGGAGGTGAGTCCTTGGGAACACAGCCTGCTCTGTCTCTCCCAGCCTGAGGTGCAGGCTGTCCTCCCTCTCGGGCCTCGCGTATCGGTGACTTCTGACAGCTCCACATCCGCCTAGTGCCGCCAGGGGTGTGTCAGACTCTGGCTCTGATTTCCTTCTACTCCACGGGTTCTTGATGCCACCTGAAAAACACCTAGTCCCTAGAGGAAAACAGGTGCCTCAAGGGATCCAACGCGATAAGGACGGAAAAGAGAGGCGTGCCAATGGCAGGAGCTTTAACGGAGAGCGGCCTCTGTGTTTAAAAACAAAAAGCCTGATCCCAGACAGGGCAAAGTCACTGCTAATAAGGAAGCTGGCAGGGCCTGTGCCGATTGGGAATAGGTTGCTGACAACACTGACTTGCACCCGGTCTCAAGACAGCTCCCAATGCTGCCTGAATGGCAGGCCTGTAGGTCTCCCCTCTTGTCTGTTGCTGGGTGGCTGAAGTGGGTCTTGGAAGTGCCAGGAGGATACGGGAGCCAGTTCCTTCGGACTGCAGGAAGCCTGGGGTGATCCTCGGCCAACCACTGGCTTCTGGAGCCCCGTTTCTTGAAAGACAGAGTGGTGATTCTTATCCTCTCCTGCCTGACTCCGGGAGGGAAAAGCCACAGCTGGATTTCTGGCTCCTTCACCTTCTAAGCAGCATGCTGTTGGGGCGGCAACTACCTCTCTGTGTCTCCCTCTGTCTGTGTCACTGCAGTGGGGATGACAGCAGCGCTCATGTAATGGGGCTGTTAGAAGAAACACTAGTTAAAACACGCCGGTGGTTCGCCAAAGTGCACGGCACACAGTAAGCAAGCTCTCTCAGTGTGTGTCATGCTTTACTCCCCCAGGGAACCTGATTCCGGATGTGCAGAGTGAGTGGCTGGATGTGCTGAAGGCCGCTCCCCCCCTCTGGTCTCAAATCCTGGAGGACGCTGTGGCTGCTGGCCATCTCCCTCCCTCAGACCCTGGGCAAGACGCCCACGGCATCTTCTCCCCGAGCTTGCTGCGCTGCAGCACCCGGCATCTGTCTCTGTGTGGCCACCTCCCCTCCCACAAGAGGACTTTGCGAGACGCACTGCTGAGTGAACAGCCTGGCCTGCACAGTTGGCACGGCACGCAGGAGGATCTCCATGCCCTGCGGAGACAAGCCCGACATGACCGAGGAAATACTTCCTCCTCCTGTGTACGTGGCTGCAGAGGAGGAGAGGCCTAGGAGATGGGCAGGGTGGGCAGGCAGGGCCTCTGAGCGTGACGGAAGCCACCTGCTCCTGGCCATGGCCCCTCCGCTCTGAACTTCAAGGTCTCTCACCAACACAAAGCTTTCCTTCAGTTAGACCCGCATCCTCGCCCACTGCCACCACAGTGGTACAGCGCATGGTTAGGAGTCTAGGATTTGGGAGCTGTGGGACCTTGAGCTGATGACTGGAGCTCTCTGTAAACACTCCCTTCCATATGGGGTTGCATAAGTTAACATATGTGGAAGCGCTCAGAGAAATACTTGGCACACGGTGTGCGTTACATGCGTGTTAGGCAATATCATTCTCCAACTGCCTTACTCCATTCAGAATTCTGTTAGACTTTCCAATAAAGTCCTGCTAAAGAGTTTCTAATCTGGTATAAAGGGTACAAATCCACACTGTGAATATATTGTTACAGAGATCCTTTTCTAATCTAATCCTCTTTACTAGAGTGTTTTTTTTTTTAACAGAAAGTCACTCCTACAAAGTCCTTTGAGTATAAAAATGAGGCCAAGAGAAGCATTTGCAAAGCAGAGAGCCAGGAACAGCTACCTGAAGCCCCCCCGGGAAATGTCCCAGAAAGCCATCTGGTCCCCTTGGCGCAGGAGCCCTCTGCCCAGGCCCTTTCTGGGCGCCTCCAGACATGCTTTCTCTGTGCTAAGCCCCTTCACACGCCCAGCTCTGCGACCCCGACCTTGAGCTCCACCTGGAACCTCCCAGGGCCTGTACTCTAGCTCTTGCAGAGGGCCGCTCAGATCCCACCACCAACTCTTGTGTTCTTGATGCATGAGCTGAACCTGGCCACAGACCAAAAGCCCTGCCAGCCAGCCACAGGGGCTTCCGAGGGCTACCTCAGGGAACAGGGGTTAGAGACACGTTTCAATGGTAAAGAAGTCACATGCACGTCTTTTTAAGAATTACTCTGAGGAAAGTATCAATAAATCAGATACTTTTACTTGAGGCAAGCAAAATGAATGTGGGCTTAGAAAAGGAGGAATTTTCTAACATAACAGCAGGAAACAATTTGGTTCCACTCAACCTGACCACGAAACATCTGCCAGCTCAAAGGCATTACTATACCTGTATCATGAGTTATAAATGAAAGTTTATTGTGTAAATCATATAATACCCTGCAACCATTTTAGAATATGTAAGAACTGTTCCTTTGGGTGAAATAATGAATTAAATTGCTATTATAGGGCTTAATTTATTATTTTACCCTGAGGAAAAATTCCACAACAGTGGTTATGAATTATGACTATAATTTGCTACAACACTTTTCAATTTAAAACCAATAGTGTGATATTTCTTTCTCTTCATTTTCAGGGTTAAGCCTTTTAAAATAAGATTTGGGTTAGTCAGACTGTAAGATACGGTACTTAGCTATTATTCCCAATTAAGAAAGAAGTTAACTGAACGTTAAATATCCTATCATAAAAGTACTGAACATTACAGCCTTCTGCCCAAACCTCTTTCAGGAACACAATAAAAATGAGGAAGTCAGGCTGGGTGCTCACACCTGTAATCTCAGGATGCTGGGAGGTGGAAGTAAGAGGATTGCCTGAGCCCAGGGGGTCAAGACCAGTCTGGGCAACTTGGCGAGACCTTGTCTCTATAATAAATCAAAAAATTAGCCGGGCAGGACGGCACGGGCTTGTAGTTCCAGCTACTTGGAAGGCTGAGGTGGAAGGAATGCCTGAGCCCAGAAGACTGAGGTTGCGGTGGCCGTGAGCATGCCACTGAACTGCAGCCTGGGTGATAGAGTGAGACTCTGTTTCGAGAAAAGAAGTCCTGCTGATTCTGACTGCTTTAGTCATCATTGATACCATGATGTGAAATACCCAGCACCACTGGAATGGTCACTGCCATGTTTTGACAATGACTCAGGACGGCAGAATGAAACAGAAACATGGTGCACCGGCGGTCATTATTCTATTAACACTTATTTTTCGTGTGCAGTCACTAATCACATGCTACACATGTGCAGATGTGTGACAGAGCAGGGATGGCAGTACCTTTCCGGTAAAAGGGAGCCACCTCTGCTGTACCCCACCCCTGCCAGGTGTTCTTCCAGACACTGCTGCATCCAGTCCTGTGGGGTCATGAGTCGGACCACATTGAAGTCAGTGCGGCTAACCTTGCACCAGCTCACACAGCTGGCTATCTAGTCCCAAAGCCCATACTCTCTCGTCGTGTCTTGGTGGGACGGTAGCATCAGGCGATTCGGGACCTCCTCGCTGCCGGCTTCTTCTGGTCCATCTTCCACACCCCTGGAGGCTGCAAAGTCACACACCTGCAAAGGTGAGCACACCTCTGGTGCTCACCACTCCTACAGGAGAAAGGCAAAATCCCCGAGCAAACAACCGACTATTATTATTCTAGCTAGTCCTTGTATGAAAAGTGGTAGAGTGCATTAAAAAGAAAAAAGCCTAACACTGAAGGTAAATTCTGCCTAAATACCAAATGTATTCCTCCTAGTGAAGACAAAGGCTGTACACATTTTTATCTCTAGCAAGGACATAGGGTGATGCTACAGTGTTTGTGGGAACGAACCAGGCTCATCATTTCCGCGAACAAGTCACTTTGTAGCAACTGGTGAAAACCTAACGAGACTTTAAGAAGTTCTGCCTCGTCTCCCTGTAGGCACGGGATATGATCCAGCTGTTCTCTACTTTGGTTTGTGGCTTCCTGCCACAGCCCGTCTCCAGGAGCGTGTCCCCAGGTGGCATCCATGGACCTCTCCTTCTCTCTTGGACACACTGCTTCTAGAATACCTCATCCATGCATGCGCTTCAAACACCAGCCATAAGATGTTTCCCACATCCACATCCCTGGACCACACGGGCCACAGATACCTCCCACGAATGTTCCACAGGCACCTCCAAGCTACACTGTCCAAGGTGAAACACATCATCTCCTGCCCCTGCCTGGCCGACCTGCCTTCTGTGTGCCCTCCCTTCTCCTGATGACCCAGGTTAGATGGCTCAAGGCTCTCCCCCACACGCTTGTCCTCCAGTGGGTTGCAAAGGCCAGTCTACTTCCTCTGACAGAGCTCTTAATGTTGCCTTCGTGGTCACTCCTTGGCCAAAGCCCTCCTCATCCTTCGACTGAACCAGACAGCGAGGGCAGACAGAGTCCTTGCCGCTGTCTCCCTCTAGCCGCCCACTACACACCAGGCACCTTGAGGCCTCCGGGCCAGCCTCACACGTGCTGGACTTGGTGAGCACTTAAAGTCAGAGGGTATGTTCTGGAACATGAAAGAAGCTGGCGAGGAAGGCAGGGGCCCCAGGGGCCCCTTTAAGGTATTTGAGTTACTTCCTCAGCTCAGCTTTGTTCTGTCTCCAAAGAACATGAAGGCTCTGCTTAGCATTCCAAAGAAAGTATCACAGGCTCTGGAGGAACACCCTCAAAACAAGTCCCAGGAAGTCAGGGGTAACGGTACCATCACTAGAATCTGTTCAAGCTTGCAGGGTGATGATCTTAAACAGGAAGCCACTCATCTGGGTGGAGAAGCCTGGATGAGACGGAATTGTGTCATGACATGCATACAAAACGGACTGGGTTCCAGCTGCCACCCTGCATGTCCCGACCCCGCCGTGACTGCAGCACGCACACCACAGTCCTTCCCTGGGGGTGCACGCCCGGCACACAGGCCACCGTGCGTCTCTTTCACCCGTGCAAGGAGAGGCAGCTCTGCCTCTGTACAACCTGTCACTCCGAAGGGGAATGGCAGGGCAAGGGAGCCTGAGTGTCTGGCGCTCAAGGGTCAGCTAACTTGGCCATTAGCCCGCCTCTGAGGCGGCCATTATTTGCCCATTTCACAGACAGGAAACGGAGGCCCAGTGCAGGGAGAGGCACAGGGCTACAGTGGTGGGCCGGTTATGGATTCCTGTCAGACGACTGCTAGCTCTGCGCTCTTCCCACTAGGTGGTGCAGCCTCTTACCTTCCGCTTTCCTATCTTCACTCATTCATGCCATTTTCTAGGAAAGAGCTGCCTGTGTCAGGCCTTCATTTCAGGGAGAGAGGAGCAACCGGAAGTCTGGAGAGCAGAGGATCCCGAGCCCATCCTCTGCCCTCAGCAACAGTGCTCAGGTCCCCACTGGCACACCCATGCTTGCAATGACACGTTGGTGGGCTGGGTGGGCCCCTGAGTGGCTGTCCTGACGCCTCTGCCCAGCTGGCTCACATCAGTCTGCCCCACGGCTCCCACGTGGCTGCCTTTGCCAAGACCAGCGGAAGCGAATGGACAAAAAGCACAGGGTCCGGAGCCAGAGCTGGGGTGCAGAGCGAGGCTCAGCCGCCACCCTGCTTCTGGGACCTGGTCAGGGTCACGGAGCTTTGGGGCCTTGTTTCCTCCCACCGCGTGACAGTGACTGCCCCTGCTCCACTGGACTGCGACAAAGATTCAATGAGGTGGCAGACACAAAGCCTTGGCGCACAGAAGGCGTTCACAAGCATAAACAAGAATACGAGTAACAACTTAAAATGAGAACATTCTAGTGGGTATTACAGATAATCTTGCTTTACCCCTTAAAAAACCTATAGCTTTTATAGTATATCGCCAAAGTCACTCATCCTCTCCACAAATAATCCCCAAACACTGTTCTAGACTCTGGTCATGTGGCACCGAAAGCAAGACAGACTCTGCTCTCACGGAGCCTGTGTGCTGTTGGCTAATGATGAGGCGAATCAAGTAGGGTGATGGGACAGAGTGGCTGGGCGTCGCCTCAGGGGAGGGGCGGGGACAGCCTCTCCGAGGAGATGATGTCTGAGACTTGCAAGAGGTGGGGCGGCCGCGAGACAAGCATCTGGGTCCGAGGCTCGAGCACAGACAGTTTGGATCCACTGCTGCTCGGCAGGGTTGTGGCTTCCTGCCCCACTTGCATCTTCCCGATGGCTAGAAACCCAGCTCTCCCCTGATTAACTAGGGGGCTTTGGGCAAGCCCCTTCCCTATTGTTGCCAGTGTTGAAACAAGATGGTGACACGCAACCATATCTTGGTGCAATCCTTAAGGGCACCGTGGAGAAGTACCAAAATGCTCCAGTCAACTCAAAGCTGCTGCCACGTGACTGAAGATGCAGCCGCTTGTCAGGTAGAGCTGTCAGAAAACACAGCACGTGGGAACTGCATTCCCCACGCTTCAGGAGGAGGACAGTGTCACATCCAGGCAGCTTAGGTGACGTCTGTTCCCAGACCCAGGCAGCGCTTTCCTTGACTACCACACCAAAGTCCAGATGAGCTGGGCACAGATACCACTGGACAGGAGCTGGCAGGGGCACTCGACACGCCTCTCAGCTTCCTTTTGAAACCCACCTGGAGAGGACTACAGCTGTCAGCAACGAGGGGACAGGGAACTAAAAGGAGGTGGCATCAGGAGTTACGTGTCACCCTTTCCACCTTTCAGTCATTACTTACATTCTCTTCACATTAACATAACACTAGCAACTCAAACAATTAAAAAGCATTATAATGGCAATGATAAAAGACCCTTTACCATAGAAGACTGTGTTACTGCTGCTGAAAAGACATCTATTATTAGTAAAATTATTTCAAGGCAATTTCTTCTTTAATCATGCTATTGCAAACTTAAAACATGAAAAGCACACTACACATTAGGAAATCTAGTGGGAAAGTATATATAAAATATATACTTATAATTTTAAAATCTTAGTATAAAAATCAGGGCAAGAGCATCTAGGATGAGCTGCTACTCAGCAAAATAGTTTTAGGAAAACCAGTTAAAAATCAATGACTAGGGCAACCCCTTTGGGTCCCCTCCCACTGCGGGAGCTCTTCTGTCCTCTCAATAAATCCCGCTTTAAAAAAAAAATCAATGACTAGGCAAAGAACAGCATTACCATCTGTATTTCTTCTGGCGATAACTCATCTTCCCCTTTGCCATCTCCCCACGTTCCTGATTCAGGTTGTGTTTCAGCCAAAGTCTTTTCTGTTAAAAAAAAAAAAAAATGAAACTGGATTGAAGAACAAGTATTCATTTTTGAATAGGTTGGATTAGGACACAGACACGTTAAAAACATGAAATGAAACAGAATCATGCAGTTTTGTCTATATTTGATGATCTGTTGGCTAATATTTAGGCATTGCAGACACGACTCTTCCACAATGTTTAGACTTTGATTATTTTTGTGTATGCACATGCATGTGCGTGTGTGATGGGGAAGGGCCCAAGCACAGTTTCAATATTGCACTGATATCAGCAATGGCTACAAATTCAATGGACATTCTTCAGAGCCAAGTCTTAAAGTGTGTGTTACTTCAGACACACACATGCTTACACATCTTCCTCTGCTTTTGGTTTTTTTTTTTTTTTGGAGTTGGAGTTGGAGTCTCACTCCATTGCCCAGACTGGAGGGCAGTGGCACACTCCCGGCCACCGCAGCCTCGACCTGCTGGGCTCCTGCGATCTTTCTGTCTCAGCCTTCCAAGTAGAGTAGCTGGAACTATAGGCACACACTACCATGCCAGCTAGTTTTTGATTTATTGTAGAGACGAAGTCTCACCAAGTTGGCCGGGTGGGTCTTGAACCCGCGGACTCAGGCAATCCACTCACCTCGGCCTCCCAAAGTGCTGGGATTACAGGCTGAGCCACTGAGCCCAGACTGCTTTTGCTTTTAAAGACTGCAAAAACATATGGATATTTTTATACATACATATATATGGGCTCTTGAGCCTCCTTCCCCCCTTGAGCTCAAGCCTGCTCCTAATTCTCTGGAGTGTGCTACCTCTCCTGCTTAATAAATCTTACTACCTTCAAAAAAAATTACTCCACATATATTACTCCACTGAGAAATCTTCAGTTATTTCCGATTTTCACTAGTACAATGGCACCGTGTCCCAGTCCATGCTTTGGTGCATGCTGGAATAACTCTCAGATCGTCATCTGGGCATGGAACTGTGGGATGGAAGTATGAACATTTTAATCTAGATAACTTTGTGTTCTCAATTAAAGAAACACTGATGGATCCTCTCTGAAGCACGTCAATACCACAGGCTCCTAGGAAGGATTGCTGCCATCCAGGATGATTTTAAGAGGTCTGCTACCCAGTTCATAAATGGGGTTGGAGCTGGGAGTAGAGTTGGTGGCAGAGGTCACTCCTTGGTGTTCACTGTAATACAGTCGCTTTGGGCCTCCATGTTTCAGCAGTGCCTCTGGGCTTATCAGTGGGTTGCCAAGGATGCAAAGGCAAATATTGCTTCTCTTCCCTTTTTTCTTTAGTCTAAGTAAATTTTCCACAGTTGGTCTCAGCCTCATGAGATGGGGACAAGGCCAGAGTGTCTCTCTTTTTTTTTTGAGTTGGGGTCTCACTCTGCTGCCCAGACGAGAATCATGACACGATCACAGCTCATCATAGCCTTGATCTCCTAGGCACAAGCTATCCTCCCCTCCTCAGCCTCTCAAGTAGCTGGGACTACAGGCACACACCACCACACCTGGCTTATTTTTTAATTTTTACTTTTGTGGAGATGAGGTCTCGCTATGTCGTCCAGACTGGTCTTGGACTCCTGGGCTTAAGCAATTCTCCTGCCTTGGTCTCCCAAAGGGCTGGGATTATAGGCGTGAGCCATCAAACTTCTCTTAACAGGGGAGAAGAACATAATGACAGCAACAAGTTAGAGAAAGGCGATTAGGCAGGCCATGCGTGAAAATTAGGGTTATCATTGGGAGTACGTCTTCACAAAAAATTCCATGTCACCACGACTTAGTGCAGCCTTTTAAAAAATGACTGTTTTTGCCAGAAGTGTCATTATAGAAAAACATATGCTTATAAAAAATGGGCTGAAAGCATCTTTAGAAACGGATCTGGTACTATTCTGAGATGATAATCCTCGGGTAAGAACATTGGCACTTTCCGTTCGCCCCCTCCACCCCCAACTCCTACTTGTCCTCATTATGGTACCCATTTCAAGCTTTTACTGTTGTTGACTTTTTAAAGAATAACAACACCAAAAGCAGAAACACAGAAACCTTGTTCATATTGGAACCGAGCATGCATTAGCTTCAAGTTAGAATGGGAAAGTTTTCTCAGCCGTACACTCTCTACAACGTGATCGAGGTTGTGGCCGTCTGACGCCTTCTGGACCTGCTGCCTAAGGATTGGCCTGAAGCACGGCGCTCACCTACCCGTCCTGTTAGGCTGCCTGAACACCTTGAGGCCAACAGAGGCCAACAGACTCATTGGCCATTCTTTCTCTTTCTTGATGTGTCTTTCGAAGCACACAAGTTTCTAACCCCAATGACTGCCATTTGTCCCTCCCACATCCCTGAAAGCTAAGTGTTACCACCCCTGGTTGTAAAGGGGGCAAACTGGTGCTCAGAAGTGTCCGCAAGAGCCAGAGCTGGGATCCTGACTGCCTCCAAAGAGGGCACTCTTCATCATACACCTGTCTCCTGCATGCCAAGGGGAGAGCAAGCTGGAGCATTCTCCCTTGAGACTGGGTGGGCTGGTTTAGTCAGGCGATCACCTTGTGATTGCCAAGTGTCCAAATCCGGACTTTAAGACAAAAATAAAGCTGTGAAGAACAGCATTCTTTCACTCTGACCGCTTATTTTCTACCCTCCAGAGGTCTTAGGTTCCTTTTACAGCAGGAAACACTTCCACAGCAGTGAAAAGAAATCAATGTTCCAAATAAGGTCTTTCCCCTCCCTCCCTCTCTTTCTCCTTCCCTTCTTTCCTTCCAACAAACATTTACTCAACAAACATTTACTGAGTGCCTCTTACGTGTGCTCTGGGCATTAGGGTTACCCTGTCCCCATGGAACTCACATTTTAGTAGGGGACACAGATAATTAAGAATATAAATAGGCAAAACACATAGAAGGGTAGTGACAAATACTAGGGAGAAAGAGAAGTCAGGGAAGACAGGAAGTAGAGAAGGCTCAGTCCTTCTTCTATCAACCTCATTCCTTGGGGATCTCAGCCTGTCTCAAGGGATCGATGTTATCTACAGACCTGTCCTTTGGCTTCTAAACTCATAAATCCAATTCCCTACTCAATGTCTCTTCTGGGCATCTCAAAATTCACATGCCCTATAGTGAGTTCCTGACCTGACCAGTCCCAAGCCCACTCCTCCGGTCTTCCACATCTCAGTGAAGGGCAGCTCCTTCCTTCCAGTTGCCAGAAACACGGCAGCACTCCTTGGTTCCTCTCCTTCTCATGTCTCACATCCAGAAAGCAGTCTGCAGCTCTACTTTCAAAAGATAGCTAGACTTCTACCACCTCTCGCCCATCCCCTATTACTCGCTCAGGGCAGTCCACCTTGTCTCTCGGTGATACCAGGAGCCTCCTAACTGTCCCTATTTTCTCCTTGTTCCCCTAACGACCTATTTCAATAGAGCAACAAGCGAGATCCTGCCAACATGTAGCTAGATGAGACGGTCCTCTGTGCATACCTGCCTCTGGCTTCTCATCTCACACAGAGTAAAGGCCACTGTCCCTCCCAGAACCTCATGCTGGTACCTCCCCACCTCTTGGCCCTCTGCCCTCTGCCTGCTTTCTGGCTCCAGGTGGCCCAGCAGCCATGCCAGGCATGCCCCTGTCCCAGGGCCTCTGCACTGCTTGTTCCCTGTGCCTAAAACACACTTCTCCCGGTGGCCACATGGCTCATCCTCTCACTTCTTTCAGGCCTCTACCAAAACAGGTGCCCGATTCTGCAACAGGCCAGCTATCTCACAATGCTGTGAAATTCTCTTTCATAGCATATATCATAATTGTACAGCTGCCCATGTAACTAACGAACACCTGTTTCCCCACTAGACATTAAGCAGAGGTGCCTATTTTCAACTCACGACTATATCCCTATCACCTAGCACCATGCCTGACATGACATTCTTATCTTCCTATGGGATTTACCCTCAGCTGAGCCCCTAGAATTTGTACGGGTTTCTCTGCACTCTTATCAGCCCTAACAATCTTTTTTGAGTGAATGGCTGTGAGGGCTGTGTCTGAAGTGAATGAACTTAGTGCTTCTTTTGAGAAGCAGTGCCATGACCTCATGGGTGACGTTGGAGATCCCCATCGTTAGGGGCAGGTGGGACCAAGAGGTAGGTAGAGCTCTGGCCTGTGGGGTTAGAGCAGTCATCACAAAGGAGGGCTCGGGCTCTGCCAACACGGGGCTCACATGGCATCCCGGGGCTGCCTCTTCCTTGTTGCTGGACCTCAAACAGGCTCAAACCGGTTTCCTCACATATAGGACACAGACACAAGACACACTTCAACAAATCCACAGGAACCAGCTGTTAACACGGCCAGCATGTGTCCAGCACAATGAAGGACTTCACGACATTTGATTCCTTGCCAGTCACCACTAAGCTCATTTTAAGCCACAGAAAGGGTCTCTAGCATTGTTCAGGTTTATAAAGCCACAGTGCATACTAAATTATCTTGCCTGCGAAATGCAGGGAGCAAATCAGAGGAAGAGGCAGCCTGTGTAATATGGATTTCAGAGTCAAACAGATCCAAATATAAATCCTGGGACCACTGTCTGCGAGCTTTTAACATGAACACATCACCAGCCTCTCCGAGCCCTACAGATGGCTCATCTAACAAACAAACAGACAGACAAAGAGTTCATGTCTGTGCTCCTTCTTTCCTGCTTTGCATCCGTGTCAACGTGCTATAAAGGAGAAATGCAGGGCAGAATTTTACTTTAACTCATACCTGGATATTCTTCAGGGGCAGGTTTTTCTTCAGAGTCTTTTGAAGGTTTCTGTGACACTGTTGCGGGAGACGTGGATTCCCTTGTCTTTGGGTTTGGCTCTGGTTCCAGCCTCGATCTAAAAATAAGTAACTGGCAGTTACCTACTTCACTCCCAGAACAGGACTCCTCTGGGGTAAGAGAAGGGAGTCACATGTGTCCCTGCACTGGGGAGCAGAGTCGCTGGTTCTGGGTCCTGTGGTCACCTGAGCGGCGCCACTGGGGCTCTCAGCGCGCAAGGCACGGGTGACCCCCTGCAGGGAGCCCGTGCTCCGCCCCACCATACAGCCTCAGCCTCAGCCAGGACCAGCGTGCCGGGAGCGTGCCGACTGCGCGTGCCCGATGCGGCACCCAGATGGATGCCATGCTCGACACATGGGCAAAGCTGGATTTACAGGGCTCCAGCAGTTGACACTAACACAAAGCACTGCCCATACACCTACATGTTGTAAGTCATATCCTAACATAATTTAATTGTGAAAGCACAAGTCCTCAAAATGACACTCAAGGAACCGATTTGTTCCGGGACCAAGGTCTCTGCGCTCAGCCTCCTCTCTACGGGCCCCGGGGCGTGTTCTCCTTTTCGGGCAGGGCTCTGCTCTCCCCCTGCCGTCTAGGAGAGGCCCCCTCTTGGTCCTCAGCATCCGTTTTCTCCACCGCAAGTATCACAGTCCGCAGTTCCTTGTGAATTTACGTGCTGCTGTGGCCTCACTCCACTGGTGTGCAGGGAGGGCCTCCGCTTCGCGAGCTGTGTTTGCGCTCAGCCCTGGATCCGGGCTGAGTGCCTGGCAGTCAGTATTGCTTTCGTTTTTTCTTTTTTTCTCAGCGGTGAGCAAGCAGGAGTTTATTAAGAAGACAAGAAAGGCTCCCAAGTGGGAAGGGACCTGAAAAAGGGTTGCCTAGTCAGTGTTTCATAGACACACGTGGAATGAAGGAATGCTTAAAAAATACCAGTACAAGGCTAACAAGAAACAATTTTGGTCATGAAGCAACGGGCCTGGCAGAAACTTTATTACTAGAGTCTCTGTGACACTGAAAATCATAGGCAGAGTGCTAAAATGATCTAGCATAATTCCATATTGGTAGGCAGGCAGATAATAATTAAAGGAGCCACGCAAGGACACATGAGGTGCTGTTACTAATGCCAGAGAATATTTGTTGAGGGCTTACACACGAGATGTTTTTCTAAGCGCTTCATGTGGATAATCTTCTTTAATTCCAAAACACCTCCATACGGTGGGTACTGGCATTAATGACCCTTGTGAGGCACATGGACGTTGGGAAGCTCGCCAGGCCACATAGTCAGCAAAGCCTGTGTAACGACACGGCCTCGGGGAACCCAGCTCTAAAGCCCGTGCGCTTCACAACTGCTCCTTGGAGGGTGGATTCTACTCGCCATGTTCCGTGGGAAAGTGGAGATTCACTAAGCACGTCTCTGAGCCTTGAATGTGCTCAAATAGGATGGCTCGTCCAAATAACCCAACTACTGAGACTCTCTTTGCAAGCTTTTTTGAGAGCAGTGTCCCAGCAAAGGCTGTTTAAGACGTGCTCCTCCACCACACTGACAAAGGAATTTCCAAAAGTAACTATAATAACTTTTCTAGTGTTTGGAATTACAGCTGAGTAGAAAAACAGTGCCAGGCAACCCCCTTGGGTCCCCTCCCACTGTGGGAGTTTTTCTGTCCTCTTAATAAACCCAGCTTTCTCACCAAAAAAAATAAAGGAAAAGAAAAAGAAGAACATAGGGTCTGGAAACGGTAAGGATCATTTACTACCTTTCGGTGTTTCTGGGGTCAGGAACGCAGGAGCAGCTTGGTTGTGTGGTTTTGGCTCGGGGCTTCTCACGAGGGTGCAATTAGGAGGCAGCTGGGCTGCAGGCAACTGAGGGGTGGACTGGGAACGCAGGGTTCACGCCCAGGGAGGCCACTCATGGCTGGCGACTGGGGCTTGCTGGGAGCCTCACTTCCTCCTCCTGGGCAGCATGGTTGTGCTCCTGGCACGCGGCAGCTGCCTCCCGAGTGAATAGCCCGAGACTGCTGCGGAAGCTTCAAGGCTTTTCATGACCCAGCCTTGGAAGTCACAAACCATCATTTCTCCCATATTGTACTGCCCAAGGCAGCTACAATGGTCTACTCAGGTTCAAGGGAGAGAGCACAAACCCTACTTTGCCCTCTCAGTGGAGCAGGGGAACGTTACCGTTTAAGGAGCGCATATGGGATGGGCTATCTTCTGGGACAGCCAGCTTTGGAATATATAATCTAAGTACCATAAATATGCACAAAGATAAAGTTATGAGAATATTCACCACAGCAGTGCCTATAACAACAACAAGATTATGTAAATGTTCATCAAAAAGTGCCTAGTTTACAGTGAGAAGATATAATGAAGAGAAGATGCCACTTGCAATAGTCAAAACAAAAGATTAAACACTAATATCAACAACAAAAACTTCAGTGTCAACTTAAACTCAAAAACCCATACTTGAAAAATGAAAACACATTCCTGAAAGATACAATGGAACAAGAAGGATACCTCATGTTCTTGGGTAAAAAATGAAATATAAAGATGTTAGTTCTCCCTAATTTATAATTGTAATGTGGCCCCAATAAAAATATCACCAGGTCTCCTCCTACCCTGAAGTTGAATAAGTCAATTATGAAATTCATTTAGAAACAAGCAAGAAAGGTCAGAAAAGCTGTAAACAAATATTGAACTCTAATCAATGAGATGCAAGCTGAAGTCTTTAAGAAGCGTGCTGTTTGCAATTTACTTTGAAATACACCTAAAAAACAGGCTAGATGAATGTGCAGAATGAAAGACAGGTGAAAGAAGCAAGAATAGTACAACATAAATTGTCAAATCTAGGGGGTGATGATATGGGTATTCACTGTAAAAGTCAACTCTGCCACAAATTTGAGAAACTTCATGGCCAAATGTTGTGGATGGTGGGGCAGGCCGAGGCCGAACAGCCAGAAGTGCCCAACACACAAAGTGTGGTATCAGGGAGTGGAGGGACTGATAGACCCGTTACATAAAATAGAAAATTCAAAAACAGATTCCACTGCATACAGATATTTGGTGTGTAATAAAGGCTTAGTAAGTGGCACTGGGTGAGCAGGCAGTTATATGAAAAAAGGGTAAATGAGTTCCCTTTCTCTGCACTGTACACCGAGATAAATTCCAGGTGTAGCAGTGATATGCAGGCAGAAAAAAATGAGCCTTACATATACATGAGGATAAAAACGGGCAATTATTCTGTAAACGAGAAGTGGAGAAAACTTCACTGTGACTTGAAATCTGGTAGCAAAAAGGGAAAGGACTGACTGATGCAACGACATCAGACATTTGAAAAGATGCCACTGGCATGAAAACCCCGAAGTGGCGGGACTGCCCGTGGGGAAGGCTGGGGTATGCGGGGAACATGGGGCAGGCGTGAGAAGGGGGCTCTCAGCGCCGTCAGCTCAATTTTGCCGCGAACCGAAAACCGCTCTAAAAAACCAAGCTTCTTAAAAAGCAAAACAGAAAAAAAATTCAAGCAAAGTGAAACGAAAAACACCAACAATCCTGTAGTAAATTCGGCAAGAAAGTGCACACAAAGGCAAACTGCTCTTCAGTGGATGAAAAACACTCAGTCTTCCTCATAATAAGATCAAGCATATTAAAAGCCACACTGAGACATGATGTGCCTATTGCGCCTGGCAAAAATCCCCGAGCACGAGTACACAGCACGAACACAGAGCATGAACACACAGTCAGGCTGTGGAGAAGTAGGCACTCCTGGATGCTGATGGCGAGAATGCCAAGGGAGGGGAACTGGGACTAGCGAGCACATTTACAGATGCATTTAATTTCTGACCCAGCAATCCCACTTCTAGGAATCTATCCCAAAGATAAAATAACAAGGAGAACGGGCACGTGCAAGGGTACTGACTGCAGCAAGTATGTCATCTAACTTTAATATGGCAAAGGCTTAGAAAGAATCCATATGTCCATCAACATGGAATTGGCTGAGCAAACTCTGGAGTGCTGCAGAGACGTGAAAAGGAATGAAGAATACCTCACGCCCTGATGTCCTGTGATACAGCAATCAGACACGGCAGAGAAAAGTACGGGCAGGATTCTCCCTTAATCCGACAAAAGGCATCTCTACCAAACCTACAGCTAGCACCATACTTTCTGGCGAAAGATTAAGTGTGCTTCCCTCAGAGGAGGAACAAGGTTAGAGTATGGTAGGCCTGAACAACAATAGAGGAAGAGAGAGCAATTACCAAACCATTTTATGATGCCAGCATTACCCTGATTCAGAAACCTGATGAAGATATTACAAGAAAAGGAAGTTAGACCAGTATCCTCATGGACGTAAGAGAAGATGTTCTTAAAATAAGCAAACTCTATATATTTAGCAATATATATAAAGACAGTAATGTATCATGTCCAAATGAGGTTTATCCCAGAAATGCAACGTTGGTTTAACATTTGAAAATCAATCAACGTAATACACTACATTAATAGAAAAGGAAAAAACTCCCACATGACCATCTCATGAGACACAGGAAAAGCATTTGAAAAGGTCAGGATCCCCTCACTCTCAGCAAACGGGAATACAGCAAATGGAAATACAAAGTGTGCAGTAAAGGGTTGATTCGGTAGGTTTGTGGTGTTCAACCTTTGCACATTCCAAAGAAAGACTGGCCCTTGTCTGGCCCATGAGAGAGAACCTCAAAGTTCTTAGAATATCCTGCCTGATGGGAGTGACTTGGTATACCTGGGGCCATTCCTCATAATTTATGCTAACAATGTGATTTATGCTGGGGGCCTTGGGCCACTGTATTAGTGTGACCCCCGGAGGGGCTGGAGACTGAGCTAATCACATAGCACTTCATGTATACATGACCAACCCCCGGTGAAAATCCTGGACACCACAGCTCAGGTGTCTTCCTTCATTGACAGTACGTGGATAGGACACACTGCTGCTGGGAGAACTAAGCACTGTCTGTACTACTCCACTGGAAGAGAATAGCTGGCAGCTTGAACCTGGTCTCTTCTGGACTTTGCCCTGTATACCTTTGACCTTTGCCG